GTCTTAAAGATAGTTCTCAGTCCTACTGTCAGGTTGCTGGTCTGGGCCATGAAGTTGGAGGTGTTAACAGAAACACGCAAACAACACACACACACACAACACACATATTGTCACACAACACACACATACCAAGCACGCCCTGAGTACCCTCTCCCCGCCCCAGGTTCCCAGTGCAGCCTGCAGGAGCGAGGCAGGAGCGAGGGTTCGAGGCCCAGCATTTACCGGCATTTAGGAGACGGCAGACACTCACCATTAACTGAACGCTGGAACTGGACTTTCTTTTCTGGAAAAACAAGGAGAAGAGATGGGACAGGAAGAGACACAGCGTGAAAACGGCAGGGAGCAGCGGAACGACAAGGAAGGTTTGGGAGGAGGATGGGCCTCAGGGTCATCCTCTGTGGTCCTTTGCCAGCTTGGCATCGGGGCAAGGAGTCAGGGCCACCAGCCACAGCTGACCTGGCAGGGCCAGTCCTTTTTCAGCCTGAAGTTCTAGGGCCTCATCGACACCTGACTGGCTCTCACCGATCTAAACAGCACACTCCAGGCGGAGTCTCCCTTGGACCAGAGCTGCCCGCTATGCCAAGCTCTGATGCGGAGAGTGAATCCTGGGTCTTGGACGCCAGTTGCCTAAGGTCCTCAGAATCCAATGCTCTTGGAGGACACAAGTGCTCTCAGATCAGGAAATGAGGCCCAATGGTTCCTCCTAGGCTGCCCCACAACATCTCTGCTGAGAGGACCCCACTCCTGGTTTAGTATCAGAGTCACTTTGGAAACTTGTCAAAAATGTACGGAACCAAAACCCCTCCAAGGACTGATAACTACGTCTGGGGTGGGGCTGAGGTATCTCCATTTTAAGCAATATCCCCAGGTGATTCCAAAGCAGGACCAGTCTTCTAAGCGGCCTTTGAAATCCTGCTTGCATTCATAGCTTCCCAGTGACTGGCCTTTATGCTGATTTTCCTTCATGCTGGTAGAGAAACTGAACATAGAAGTGAAGCTGAGCCTAGAACTTGGGTCTTTTGGCCCTGTCGTTTGGTCTGCTCTAGCTTTGGGCATCTGTAGCTTCTAGTGTATTGTCTGTTGCACCAAGAGAAAGGGAAAAAGAAAGGACAAATGTAGATTATCTTTTTCTTCTCTTAGCTTTCTGAGCCAGGAGTCTTAATAAAGACTCACATTCATAGAAGACTGCAAGTCGAGACTGACCTTTCCACTGCACAAAGGAGAAACTGAAGCCGAGAGGGGAAGTGACCTGTCCAAGGTCTCAAGGTAAGCCACTAGCAGAGCTGAGGCTGGAACCCAAGGCCTGAGTATAGGAGTCTCTGGGCATGCGCAGCCTGGGCCCTCTCCAAAAAAGCTCGTCCTACCCTGGATGCACTTACATTTGAGAGGCCAGGAGGCCTCTCTCTGCTACGTGGTGCAGGAAGCAGAGGAGGAACTTGAGATGCTGTCAAGGCAGGCCTTTGCTAGGAGAATGCAGGAATATTCCTTGAGGGCACTCAGGTCTAAATTCTGGGCTTTCTAACTATAGGATCCAGGAGCCTAAGATCCTA